CCCTTGTCAACCTTTTCATGTGCAGATAATTTTAACTTCCTACATCTAACATTTGTTTTATCATACGCTGATAAAATGTTTTCTCTGTTTTTCCACATTGTTGCAACAGTAAACTTTCCAAGTGCTAATTCCTTACAAATGTCACTCTGCCTTACTCCACTTTTTATTTTGTTAATAATCTCGCACTTTTCATTTAGTGAAAAAGCTTTGCGTTTTTGTTTTTCCATTCTAAAACGATTTACATAGATAGCGCGTCAAAAAACAAGTCACTGCCTGTCTCTCGCGCTCACTAATATAAACAACTCCGCACGATTGGTGTTGCTGAGCGTGCAAGTTCGTTATAAACGGAAAGTGCGTTTTTGCGATACAATTAACCTAAAAAGTGATCGTTACATCCGGAAGTTCGTTATAAGCGGGTTTGTTATAACCAGTAAAAAAATTCGTTGGTCTTTATGAACAACGTTTCAATTAATCGTATGCGCAAATGCAATATGTTGATGGCTTTTTTTGTTAGATGTTAAGATTCTCTCATCGGCCATGACTTATAACGCATTAACCAATGAGTTAAAACTCATTAACTCAGAGAGCGGCACAACTCAAAAGCGCAACTTAACACAGTGTTACCCAGGCCTAAATTGCATAAATGTAAAATGCACATACATAAATGGAATTTGTTGGACACACTGTGCAAGAATAACAGACAAGTACTCGAAAATAAAACTCTGGTGATTTGTGTAAAAATGTGCTATGACACCCCAACAGAAAAAAACCCATAAATAAATCAGTCTTGGATGACTTAAATAATAGACAGGAACATGACAGGATGCCCTAGACTGATGACTCATCAATCAATGCAATGCCCTTGGCGCCCTCTAGCGTCTTGCCCAGCGTTCGCTGCACACCCTCAGCTTCCGGTTGGTCGCGGTTGTGCAGGAACCCGGCCAGCGACCACCTGCGAACCGCCCAATAGAACCCCGCAGTCAAAAGCCCCACAGGAAATCCGATACCTGCGCCCTCTCCTATCGAGGATGGAAGGCATTTCCGCCACCAGATTGTTCTCGAACTCGCTCAGCATCAAGTAGTTCTCCACCTTGTTGCAGGAGGTGATGCAGTCCCCGATATAGTCAAGGTCGTCCAATAAATCGTCCGGCAGGTCCATGTCGGCTATGCCTAAAAAACAGATTTAAAAACGACGGACTAAGCGAGGCGCAGCAGGAAAAGTACCTTCTTCGGAGATGCAGGTCAGCTCTCCCTTGTCGGCCGACACCAGAACATTATCGCTAATCAGGGCCCCGGAGTGGGGCGTCCCCAACTCCGCCCCTAAGATGTAGGCAGTGGCGGCGCCCGCCAGGGGCTGGTCATTGTCCGGTTCCTGCGAAAAAGACAACTTGCGCGACTGGGGGCAGGCGTCATTCATGCACAGGTGACGAGTGCCGTTCTCCCTCGTGTGCTTGTGGTGGGAGATGCGATGCCGGTGCAGATCAGTGAGGAAGAGCGCCAGGCTGCCAATCAACGTGCACACAGCACTGAAGTAGTACCCGGCCCGATGTCCGAACTCCTCATTCAAATACCCTGCAATCGAACCTTTAGCCAGACTGCCAGTGGGAGGATTGGGGAACATTTCCCTACCGGAAAAGGGGACGCCGATGGCGAGCGGCAGCGCCTGCGAGAACTGCACGTAGCCCCAGGTGCGCGAAAAGTGCCGCGCCCGCACTCGCTCGTACGTGTACATCTTCAAGGAGTAGCAGTAGCCACCGTAGAAGAAACCTGAAACTTGCTGCATAAGACCGGAGGACTAGAACCCCTAGGGCAAACTCACCATAGATCCAGGCGAACATCACATAGGCGTGATGGTTGTCGTTGACGACGGTGAAAGCCAGCACGGCCAAGCCGCACATGAGCACGGCCGATTGGCAGAGATACTGGCGCGCCACACGGCATTCCGACGTCTTGTGCAGCACCAGCGCGCTGAACAGCACGGACCCCAAGGCGCAGCCCAGCCCCAAGTAGGCCTGGATGGCCACCACCCAGTCGTCCAGCCCTGAGACGCGCCACATTGCAAAAGCCCCCGTAGGCCCCATCGCAAACTTACCCTCAGCCCGGGCCTGGTAGGCCAAGTAGAACAGTGGCGTGTTGATGCCCAGTGCAGTAACAGCGGACGACGCCAGCAGGATGCGAACAGTGACGCTCTTCAGGGCGCTGAGGTCGAAAAAGGGGGCGCGATCCTCCAGGCGCGACTTGTCGCGAATCTTGCGCTTCTGGTTCTTAATGTGCAGAATGGCGCGACGCTGTGGATGGTAAAGCGACGCCGATCGGTAGAACGTGCCCAGGATGAAGGTGGCGGACAGCGTCCCAGTGATCACCTGCAGGCCCAGGCGCCAGCCCAACGCCCTTCAATGGGAGGCAGAGTCAATTTCCGGCCACCAATCACGCGCTGGGCGCACTTACGCAATCGCAGTGCGAATCAGGAGCGACATCAGGGCAACGCCCAGCCCGCCTCCGGCCACCACGGCCACCTCGACAAACTCGCGCCGCCGCTTGAAGTACTGGGCGACCATCAGAATGGAGCAGTCCCTAGTGACACCCACCCCGATCCCCATCACTGTCACATAGCTGCAAAAAAACCTAATAAATAGCCCTAATTTCGTAATAATAGTGGTGAGTTTCCACCTGAAAATCAGCTGATGGAATTGAGTGGCGAAGCTAGTGAAAAGACAGCCAAGGGCGGTGATGAGGCCGCCCATTACGGCAGTCACCCTAGTGGAGTGGCGACGACAGTACCCGATAACCACTGGAGAGATGAAAAGCGACAACCCTGTAGAGACCGCCCCCAGCCACTCTAAAAGTGGAGGGGAAAATTGGAGGTAGAAAAGTAACTCCAGCTGCCGCCTCGCATACCAGCCTGCCTCTGGAACTCCGGCCCAAATTTGCGTACGATTTCCAGCTGGAAAAGGCCGGCGGACGCCAAAAACCCATTGGACAGCACATGGACCAGTACAGCGGTCCAGAGCACCATCCAGCCCCAGCCGCCCTCTGGATAGTAGTGCTGCTTTAAGGTGATCAGCTGCCGGATGTCGGCTACAAAACGCGCCGTTCTGGACACTTGCGGCTCCTCGCCAGCGGACACCTAACCAATGGGTCGTTAAGGGGCGCCAATTTGCCTCCGGGTTAAGGGCGGCTTAAAACCCGATCCGGTTTATCAACTTACCCCATAAAAGCTGCCTAATCCGGAGTCATGATGTGAAAATTGGGGCAAACTTCGGGAGCGGGGGAGCGTATGGGGACGCGTTCGCTCCGGGCTGCCAGGGGGATTGTTGCCAGTGGCGGCCATCTATTAACAGGAATCCACTCCAACAATTCCATTTTGATGTTCAACGGTTTTTGTGACACAAGCGTGTGACCTTTTCGGTTCAATGTCGCTTGAAGCGGCAGGCTCTCTTCATCTTGACTTAGGCCTGGGTAACTCAATAAATTTTTAGGAGTTGGCGCAGTGCCACGCAAATGGCCTGCTGCGCCAACTCAACGCACCGGTTGCTGGGAAAATGTTTATTACTTTTTTACTTGTTTTTAGATTTATTTTAAGAGCCATTTATCAATAATATTTTTAACATTTCTTCTGAATTTTCCAGTTTTAGCAAAGTTACTATTTTTTCTAAATGCTCAAATTTCTAAAGATTCACTTAAAAATGTTGACAATCTTAAGGTATTCGCTTTGTAAAAAGTTTTGAAATCCCTTTCCAGCTTCGAATTTGGGACAAAAAAGCAAATAATTTTCTATCAAAAAACGAATTGAATAAGCGAAAGATTATAATAAATTATTTGGAAAACTCGTCACTTTCATTCCTCTGAAAGCTGTAGAGATTGTTAAAAAATGGGGTTTCTTACTTTTAACTTAATTTTTTTATTTGCTTTCTACTCAAAAACGCTCTACTTTGTAGAGTTTTACTTAAAAATACTGACGATTTGGACGTTTTTTACACGAAAAATTACAAGATAAATATCTTCTTTCAACGTCGAATTCGGGACAAAAACGAAAATAAATTTATCCCGTTTTTCCCCGATTAAGGTTTTCTCAAAAACCGATCACAAAACTAAAAGCTTTAAATCAAAAACGCAAAAATATATTTTTCTTTATTTCTGACAACAGTGAGGTCTTTGCAGCGAAAAATGAAAAAAATCGCCTCATTCATCGGTTTGCAGGGAACTTTAGAAACCTCTTTTCAGCTTCGAATTTGGCCCAAAAACCAAATAATTTTATTCAGTTTTTAAGTAATTAAGATTGTCTTGAAAAAAACGGCCACAGCAAAATTTTCCAAAAAAATTACTTGGATTATTTCAGTCATCCATAGCAACGCCATAGGGCAAGGGCAAAAAAGGTATTAATAAACGATAATTTTCAAAAAAACTTACAGCGAATATTTCCCTCGTGTGATAATCTTCCCGTTTGAAGTGTGCAATTATCGAAAAATTACAGCGGTAATTGCACAGTGTGCAATTATCACTCAACGATAATTGCATTGTTTACAAAAAATATT